ACTACTATCTTGGGTTCTTGAATTATGGTTGTCCATACATAAGTAGCTCTGGACTTGCCGTACAAAAGTTTGACCATACCAGTAGCTCCAGAGAGAAGTATCCAGAATTCGAGTGTACCCTGGCAAAAGAGGGCTGCCACTCTGACGATGACTGTCACTACAGACCCATTTGGTGCTCCTGTCGTGGTCCAACATGTGTCCATTACAAGTCAGTGAAACAAGGTGCAGGTGAAAGTAAGGTAACTGCATACCCAAACACATTTGAGGATTGGGGGTGGCGTGGTTGCGATTGGAAACTTGCGGGATCTTGGTGCATGTGCTATAATGAAAATCGTGATCAGCGGAAAACTGTGTGGTCCTTGCCAAACAGAGATGCCCCTACACATAAAGCATCAACCAAATCTGCTGACAAGAAAGGCAGAAGATTAATGTCTCCAAAGTACACCGCTGGAAAATAGAAATGAAAACGAATGAAACTTTAATTTTGGTGCACTTAGATAAATTAGGTAATCGTTGAAATTTTTCACGCTTAAGTTAGGACTATGCTTGTGTCTCATTGTGTTTGAATAAAGGATTAAATGGGTACATGTCACTACCTTTGATAGCAACCTCGCCCTGTGTGTGTAGAGATCGTACTGAAAAGCTTTTTCCCGGGAATGAGAGAGAAAGACAAAAACAACTACTCTTAAAATGTAATATCGATTGAGATTGATCTAAAGTCTCATCCAGGTTAGCCGAATTGAATGTTTCGTAAAAGAGACCATAAAGCCTAAGTAAGATCCAGAATGGATTTTCCATCTTCTATTTAGATCCTTTTAACCTGGAAATTGCTGAAAGCACTTAAGGGCCCAAGAAAACCGAGCCTTATTTTGTTTTGGAATTTTTCTTCAGTTAAAATTGGTTTGTAAAACATTCAGAAAGGCTGAACTTTGCCTATAAGTATTATAATTTCATCGAAGGGGAATATCTTTTAGCAGGGCTGGTTTCATTGCTTTAGTGTCGTGGTACAAAATTAAAATTTCATTCAGCTGATTCTTGAGATCTACAGTTAATTGATGCTAACGGAACACTGAAATGGCTTCCCTCGAAATTGTGCAATAGCGTGCGTTTTTGACCTTCCTAGTGAAAGGAAATTTTGCCCTTAATATTGTAAACAATAAGTCGCATGTTTCCTCGTAAACGTAAGGAAATATATCTTAAATTATCCTGCGGGACTCGGGCAATTTCCTCAACTTCGGAAAACTCAAGTATTATTTGTGTAAAGTTTACTCAGCCCATGCGATTACTTCTACAAATTCATTCTTTTCATTCCTCCCTTTCAGTTTATTTTCGAGGTCATAAGCTCGCAGCAATTTAGTTGATTTTTAGTTTTTTTCTTTTTCTTATCTTCTTGTTTAGTGATTGCGATCTATGAAATAATCGGGCGTCTATTAACGATTTTTACCCAGTGCGGCACAAAAAGGAAAGATGCTAAGAATAATGTCTAAAGAAAGTTTGAGTGGTAATTGTGAACTGACAACAGTAGTTGACCGAAAAAGCAGGCCGTGACGAACGCTGAATATACCGTTAAAAGTCTTCTTATTATTTACGTGGCACATCGTTACTAATAACATAATAACAAAGGATCTAAAAGAAGGAAGGAAATTCATTTTGGATCTGGTTAGATACTGACTCACAAAAAAAGGTCTCAAGAACTTATATAATTAAACTACGACAGGAATAAGTAAAGAATACAACAGTTTAACAAGAATTACTGGTGAAGCATAAACATCGTAAATTTCTTTATACAGGTAAAACAGTATCAGCAGTACCTGTGAATATAATGTGATAACAATTAGGTTGTAAAATTCCATCTTATCGAAAAGAAACACGGTGATGTCATACCTGCATCACAAAGTTCATTTAGAAATGAACTATTCGGGGGAAAAATTTTTGGTTAACATAACAGAGGAACTAAAAGCAACTGATGGAAATAGACATGCTCCATAAAAAATTTCCTATTGGTTTTTATTTGACATCTGAAAACGAGCCAAAAACACCCTGTTTACAACAACCAGTTATGATTCGGCTCGCGGACGAACGATGTAGCGAAATAGGTGACTAATCAAACAAGCAGGCGGCATTTCATAGATTAATTCAACCGAAAAGAAAACTAATGTAGTTTGCAATAATAAAAGTGGACGTAGAACAGACTTAAGGACTCACTGTATATTACTCCTATCGTTTTGCACACGTTTTTGTTGTTGTTTGTCTTGGAGCATCATTTTTTGTTTTCTAGTTCATAGATAAATTCTTAATTATGTTGCGTATTTGTAGTTAATAGATTGTTCGCAATGGTCTACACTAACTAGCTTGATCTTTCCTGTTTCCTTTTATAAATTTATTTTCATGATGGTACGGATTCACGTTCCAGAAAAAGCATTTTTGGAAAGAGCAATTTCCTACCCGCATTACTTCCCTCTTAAGGCCACCTCTCTACAATGGCCATTTCCCTCTGTTCAAGGTGGCCGCTATAGAAAGGTTAGACTGTACTTCAATTATTAACAGAATGTTAAATGGACTATTTTGTAAAACAGGTCATCATTTTACGGTCAAGTTACATGAAATTAAAACACGGCTACTTGCCCAAAATAGCCGGTTTAGATTTTCCCGATCTGTCGAATTCTTGATTGGTGAAATTAGTGGAACTAAACGTTTTCTGGTGAAATTCATAACGTTAACAAATACGGATTTCTTCGCGGTCGTTTAATTATTAATTCCGCCAGTCACGTATGCTTTTGTCAGATATCAATTTAAACCACATTTTGGACAGCTTGAAGACTGAAAAGTGCACGAAGCAGGGGGATACCAGCAAAACTAACTCATAGAGTACCATGAACTGGTGGAGTTCTGTTGTCTCCATTGCACCTTTTAACCAATCAGCCACCTACATGCAAATAATCCCATGAGCTCTGACTCCTAAATTAAGGTACACTTTATCCTTTACAAGACAAATGTATCTCTTCACATCGACTCATTATAGAGATCACGGGATAGTGCATTGGAAGACACCAAAAGGTACGTAGATAGGAAAGTTACCCAAAGGCACTTTTATAATAGTTAAGAACTACTCCTCTACCTAATTTAATTGTCGATTTTTTTTTAGATTTACAACATAAAAATGTTTGCCTGAAGTAAAAAATCTCACGTTGCCCCTTGAATAAAAACGAACACGATCAAGAAAATTTAGTTTCCGTGTATAGAATAATCTCTTATAGAAAACATAAAAAAGTTTTAGTACTTCAAATTGGGAGTGCGAACAATAAAAACTCTCTTTTAACAAATACATGCGTGAATCCAAAAGGTTTATCACAAAACAAAGGTTTTTTTTCCATAAGAACGAGACCTTTTAACTTAAGTGAAAACACTCGTAATATTTGGTATCTTGCCAAAATAAGAGGACAAGAAGGGTACTTAAACAAGGTGACCATTGACAAATGGCGATCGGCGCAGAAAGTGTTGATTCATCGTGTGGTTTAAACTTCCGGCTGAGGGAAGTCTTGAGAAGGGCTACAAAGTTGTCGGCAATAGTCACAGGCGGTAGTAATCATCAGAATTAAGTGAGAAGCTGTTGTCAGTCGAGCGTTTAAAGTCCGGTTCATGTAAGCTGATTGGTCAGTTTGTTATTGGCAATGATACTCAAGTCGTTTAGGTCGGTCGTGATTGGTCAGTTTTGGTTCGTCGGCAATACTTGGTAGTTCTGTTCGGTTTGGTCACTTTCTACGAATTCGTGTTCTTTTCGTGTTATTTTAATTAGCCTCTGAAATTCTCAGAGTGGGTTTTGAAACTAGGGGCTAATTTAGTTTTATCAACTGAGTTGAAAAGGTAAATTGGCTACCGCAAAAAGAGTTCATAGGCTAAATAACCCTCGGTTTTGAAATGACCAACAGGCCATTTCAAAGCAGATAACATGTTCAAAGTCATGCAAACTGTTCGTTTGAGTATCATTATTTTTGAAAGATATTCATCCACAATTTTGACGGCTTGTAAGGGTGCAATCTTTCTCAAGAGAATCTTGGTACTTAAATGATCTGATCAAATTGGCGTGTACTCAACGCTTTTGCTTAATTATTCGTTAACGCCTTTGAGTGAAAATTCAGAGACAAGCTTCCCGTTTAAAGATATCTCGAAAACTAGTTAAAAATGGAATTTTCGTCTTAGGGCCACTAAATTGGAAAAAAAAATGCGATCTTAAAATTAGAAAAAGGAAATTCTCTGAAACCCAGGGAGTACATACTGTAAAACTATTTACTACACCACATAAACAAAAGAAAGAAAGAAAAATAATGACAAAAAAAGTAGAAGGAGTGCTTCATTACACTACTCAAGAAAAGATGACTAGGTAAAAGCGATTAAAACTCGCTATACAGAAATGTGCGAAACTTAATTAACTTAGATCTGATCAAATTCTGAAGGATCTTCAGAGCATTAGAGATATCAAGAACTTTAAGAAAATATTATGTAACAGTATATCTAATGATTAGACACCATTGGCTTTTCGTTATTAATTATAATTATAAATTATGATTGTAATTACTGTAGAGGGAGACCCCATAATATGTATGTAAGTATGCATGCAGATTCGCTACTGCAACAGAAACTGAAGACTACTTAGCTGCTCTGAGAGATTTACGTTACGTTGCACTATATTAACTTCGCACACGTTACGCTAGGGAAAGATGATAAGGAGGAGTCTCCATAGGTAACAGTAGTTTATCAAGAGAACGTTGGTTGGTGGTGTAACTTCATCGCGGTGTTGATTGGAGGTGATACCAGTTTCAAACATGATATATGAATACAATTTCACAGTCGACAATTTTCTCAACAGTCTGGTCCATGTCTATTATTCAGCTTATAGGTAGATTACTCTAGTTTCTAGATTTCTAAGCCTCAACTGTGCTAATCTTCCTTTGCAGATTGAACTAACTCTGATAACATTTTTTCGAGTGAAAACTGCAGCCATGTTTCTCCTTATTATAATGGCTATGTACCTGACAGCCATTTCTTCTGCCCAAGAAGTTAAAGGAAACAAACGAACCGAAGCCACAAAGGAAACAGCAGAGCTTGGAAAAGCGTTAAACCTTCACAAGACCAACATATTAGAAGATTTCAAGGAACGCGAAGCAAGTATTTTTGAGCCTTTCCCTGAAGAATGCTTCAAAAAAGAAAAGCTTAACATCTCCAAAAGTTATTACAATTATTATGAAAGTACCAAGGCGTTTTACTCAAAGTTGGCCACATCAACAGGCTTGGATGTCTCGCTGGAATCGACTTATTCCCTGGGAGTTACACTGAATAGTGTAACAAAGAGAACAAATTCAAAAGAATCGAATTTGAGCGGCATCTCTCTAGTAGTCGAAGCATTAGTTAAAAAGCTTCGCCTAAGCAAAGACTGTTTAAACGATGACAACCACAACTTTAAGAAGAGCTTTATTGCTGACCTAGAGCGACTTCCGTTGAAAATAAATCGGCCCTGGTTGCAAAATTCATGGCGGTCCTACCATGATTTCCTAGAAGAGTACGGCTCCCACGTTGTTACTTCCGTTTTGCGTGGATCAAGGATCAAACAGATGTCATTTACACGAAGTTCAAAAAGCTACAGTGAAAGAGAGCTACAGGTCAAAGCCTGCGTTTCCTTAGCTGGAACTATATCCGCTGGAAATATTGGTGTGTCTGCATGCACCAATGTCACCAAAAGCGAGTCGTATAAAGCGTACCAGATGAGCACCACTGATAAGCGGATCGTTCGAGGGGGAAGCAGCGCCACTCGTAATAAGCTGTTACACGACATGTCGAAGGAACTTATCGAGAGACTTATGAATGAAGCTAGTGAAACCCATTCGTCTGTTCAGCACACCTTTAGAGCGGTGTGGCAAATCTTACAGAGCCGTTTTACCTCAGGTTCACCAAACTACGTCAGAGCCTTAAACCTTCAGTACTACTATCTCGGATACTTGAACTATGGTTGTCATTATCAAGAAAGAAGAGGACTTGCCTTTCAGAAATTCGACTACACAAAACGTACTTCCGACAATTATCCGGAATTCGAGTGTTCATTGGCTAGAGGAGGTTGTCACAGTGACAATGACTGCCACTACAGACCGGTTTGGTGTGCGTGTCGTGGCGAGACGTGTGTTCGCTACGTGAAAGAGAAACAAGATACAGGTGTGTCAAAAGTAAAAGCAACTCCAAACATCGGTTCCTGGGGTGATATGGGATGGCACGGTTGTGATTGGAGAGTCTGGGCGTCTTATTGTGCTTGCTATAACTATGATAGACATGTGAGGAGGGTCGTGTGGTCTTTGCCCAGCAGAGATGTCGCATCAGACAAACTCCTTATTCATCATAGCGACCATCACAAAGCTAAGCATCAAGGGCTGATTAAAGAGGAAGGGAGTGCTGAAAAATCGTAACAATGAGATATATTGTAAGCAGAAACATAACGGTGAATTGTCAATCGTTTAAATTTGATTGCATTGATGCAGATTGAAATGAAGGAATGAATATCTTAAAGCAATTTTAAGTTAATGTCGTAAAAAGGTTTGTGGTTATTTATAGTGGTTAAAAATATTAAATTAAAACAAAAGAAACAACTGGTGTCACACTTACAATGGAAAAAATTTGAAACTTCCTTAGAAATCCGTCAAAGAAAAAAAAAAGTAAAGTAAAGGAAAACTCGAAATTTTCGAAGACAAAGCTCATTTAAATACGGCCAACTGTTTTAATGAAGATTATAAATAATTTTGAAACTGAAATGGTTATTATTTAGTTTTTTGAAGGATCCAGCATTGACTAAATACATCAATCGATCCGTCGAAAGAAATAATTTAATATTCGTTCTAGACTCGGCTATTTTTCGACTAAGTATCGTATGTTATAATATGATTCTCGCTGCTCTCTCGCGTTGAGCTGTGTAACATAAATGTCGGCTTTTTTTCGTAATTCTGTAGTCTTAAATAAACTCATTATGGTTTCCCGGTGAAAGAGAATGATGAACTGGTGTAGGCTTGTTTTCACCATTAAACATTTTAGCCTATCAGCTCCATACATCTTATTCTCTCTTTCACCTGTCACACCTAAATTAAGCTTTGTTTGTGATTTGTAAAAGCAACACGCAACCCACTAAATCGAAACATTACAGATACTTCGGTGTATTGGAAAGAATATGCGAAACTTTCTAAAACGAATCCCAGCTTTGGTATATTTAGGTGTTTATCTGTAATACTGTTACTCTTTATCACTCTTCAGCTTCATTAAACTGTCTCAGTTTGTGGACTGAAAGGATTCTTTAAAATTGGCAATGCGTATTTTAAAAACTAATCTTGCACAATTGCACCAAATAAATTATGCGAAAAATATTTTTGCTGTTTCAAGAGGTTTGAGTCGTTGCATGACAAGTTGTAATACAAGCACTCCCATTACTGATGAATATATATTCCACAAGGGGGAAAAATCATCGCTAAGTCGGGATTGAAAGCTGACAGCGAAAAAAAAAACACTTAACTGGCAAAAATTTTTTGAGAGAGGACCTCGAACCCTTCTAACTCCATTTAACTGGCCACGTTTAATGCGTCTGCAGTTGGTTTAGAGATTAGCGAACGATAATTATTTTCGCACGTTATCACAGGGATTTTTTTTGTAACAAACTCCCTAGTAAGGATCTGACAGAGAAGTACCATAACTTCATCTCTGGAGCACCAAAACTGCCTCGGGCCATATTCCAACACGGCACTGGAAAGGAAAGGAGAGACCTCACGTAAGAGCCTTAGCCCTGTAATAGTGATACCTTTGTATCTTTAACGAACGTAAAAATTTAATCTCTTTATTGACTTAAATAAAATACAACATTAATGTGGCAGGTAGATTTTCCCTCATTCAAGTTTTCTTCCCACTTTTTTCTTCACATTTTGATAGTAATTAGTTTATGTTCTGAGTAAAAGGTCCATTCCAACCTTTGCCAATATGGATCCGCTAATCGGTCTTCAAGTTTAGATAAAACTTATATTATCATTCTTATTTTTATAATCCTTGTTATCATTATTAGTATCATCATCATCTTTGGGACAATCATCATTATAATCCTCGTAATAAGCATAGACGAATAAGATTCCCCGTCACCAAAACAGGGGAGGGTATATTTTTCTCTAACTTAGATTTATTTTCTACTTAAGCTAAAAGTTTCCTCGAATAGGTTCGATATGGTAAAATTGGTCAAATTGGTAATAAGTTGACCTTTGTAGTGAAATCCATTAACTTAATGGAGTACAGGTGCGTATCTGTTCTCTTTCCTTAAATCATTTAATCATCAGGTTACTAAGTTAGGAACGCTTTTGGCACATATCAATTAAAAGTCCACTTTGAAAACTAACAGAATATAACGCAGGCCACGGTAGCACTACAGAACTTACTCATATTTGTCGATAAACTGGTGGAACATTAAACCTTTTAACCTCTGAATTGCCTACATGCAAATATTATGTGACCTATGACTCCTAAATTAAGCTTGGTTCCATCTTTTAAAGCCAAACATATATCATATCAACCACAACTTACAGATTCTAACATTCTTACAAGAAGAACTGGAAGATTCGACCCCATAGGGTGGGTAGATAGCAACGCTACATGAGAGATCCTAAAAATAAACTAAATCATGCTGCCATACTTTAAAGTAACTAAGTTTCACTTGTTGTTGATATTGGTTGTTTTGCCGAATACAAGCCTCAGGTTACTAAGTAAATAGGCATAAAATTTGAAAATTTCGGATTTGAAAAGTACATCCCAAATCCCAAAGGCTATTTAGGAAAACATGTTACTTTACTAAGAGATCTAAGTGCAACAGTAGCAGTGTTACAACTGATGGATATTCTACTTTAGGGCATATAGTACTGAGCGTCGTAACCAAATTGAGGCCCGCAATATGGTTAAAGAAAGTCACTTGGTCGGATATGGGGTTCAAAAACAAAGGATTATTTGAGATTGCAAGGGTGGGCTTCGGAACTGCCTGTCGGTTCAGAGTCAACATACAGACTGTTCGTTCCAGGTCTCATTATTTCTCAAGGAAATTCATCTACAATGTTGACGGTTTTTAAGGGTGCACCCTTTATAAAGAGAATCTTGGTACTTAAAGAACTGACCAGACTGACGTGTTGTAAACAGTTCCGTTTACAATTCAAAAGGTTCTTTGAGTGGAAATTCACAAACAGGCTTCCTGTTTAAAGATATTTCGAATCCAGTCTTATTCAGTTGGAAATTTAAAAGCTGGAATTCAAACCAGTTAAAAATATGATGTTTGACTTCAAGCCAATGAATTTGAACCAAACGTGCAAACTTTAAAATAGACAAAAGCAAAAAAAAAAAAGAAAAAGCCACTGAAAAGGAGGCAACTTATAAATAAAATCGAAAGAGTGCTTCATTGTAAAGCTTAAAATTACTTGAAGTGGTAAGTAAAGAAACATTCGTCATTAAATTACAGAATCATTTAAAGCTTGGAGTGAAATATAGAGGCTTAAGTCAACGTTCGTCGTAGGCCCCTTCATTCAAGAGTTTCATTCGTTTTTTTTAGAACAGTTTTTAAAATTTAAAACCTTTGAAAAAGCTATCGTTTTTAAACTACCGGTTCGTTGACAAGAACTTACGAGAACTCCAAGCAGTGCTACAATACAACTTAACTGACACACGAGGGTGTGTTTTTGTTTTGGATGCCCTTGCGTTAATTCAATTATTATAAGAATGATCATCATTTAGTCTTTAATAGGGAAGGCCCTTCGTCCAATACAGTTCTATCTGATGAGTCTGCCTCAGTCTTAGCACAGAGCATTGTTGAGCTTTTCGAGGTGATAAGCACAGGTTGAAACTCATTACAAGTCATTCAATACCCAATTTAGAAGACGTCTTTCATGTAACACAAACAAATTTGACATACATTTGTACCTTTAACTTACCACTGATTCGAAGTCACTTCCGAAAGGTCTTTGTTACGGGGAAATGATCACCGATATCTTACTAACAGCTTAAAAATGCTAGCTTATTATTTATTTTTCGTTTGTGCCAAAAAAAACAGTTTAACTGAAATTTTATGTATCCACTAAAACACTTCCTTAATCGCCTCATGTTACATACGTTTTGGTCCCGTTCTGTGGCCACTTTCCATAGTTATTATGCATTTTTTTCCCGCAGATTGTAATTCGAACAGCTGAATAATGCATGTCCCTTTGGTGCTTCTTGTTTTTGTGTTATACACATTTAAAAGAAACATGCGAGGCTTCAATAGCCGAGAATTCTGGGCTGGGAAAAGTGATAGATCTTCGAAAGGTCAACTTACTGGACGACTTCCAGGAGAAAGAGAACAGGATCTTTAAGGAGTTCCCCACGAAATGTCTCGTAAAGAAAACTTTAAAGTCTTCAAGCAGCCACTTCGAATATTATGCAAATACCAAGGAATTTTATAAATCACTTGCCACCCAGTCAAGCTTGAGCACCTCTTTACAGTCCGCGTACTCGTTGGGTGTTACGGTATCAATAGCAAAAAACAGCAAAAGTTCACAGAGCACAGAAGTGAGTGGCATGTCTTTAATCAAGCAGGCGTTAACAGAAAAGGTCTATGTCGATGAAGAATGCCTTCTGGATGACATCACCAGCTTGAAGGAAACATTTCTGAGTGATCTGGAGGACTTACCCGTAAACATCCAAAATCCCTGGGAACCAAACTCATGGAGAGAGTACCGTAATTTTCTTAAGGAATACGGCTCTCATGCCATAACGTCTGTGAAGCGCGGATCAGGATTTCAGCAAATGACATTCGCAGAGAGCTCTAAGGCTTACACTAAAAGAGATTTCCACGTAAAAGCTTGCATTTCGGTCGCAGGACCTACCCAGGTTGGAAAGGTTGGCGTCTCTGCATGCTCAAACGTAAGCCAAAGTGAGATATTCAAAGTGAGCAAGATGAGAACAAGCAAGAAACGCTTTGTCAAAGGTGGAAAAAGGGAAACAAATAGCAAGCTGGCAAACGGGGCGACGTCGGTTGAATTGCTTGGCCAACTCATAAATGAAGCAGATGAATTTCCAGCATCTGTTGAGCACACCTTCATGGCGATCTGGACCATGTACCTTGGTTTCTTGAACGGTTGAAATGTTGTCCCTTCATAAGTAGCTCTGGACTTGCCGTACAAAAGTTTGACCATACCAGTAGCTTCAGCAAGGAGTATCCAGAATTCGAGTGTACCCTGGCAAAAGAGGGCTGCCACACCGACGATGACTGTGACTAAAAACCCATTTGGTGCTCCTGTCGTGGTCCAACATGTGTCCATTACAAGTCAGTGAAACAAGGTGCAGGTGACAGTAAGATAACTGCATACCCAGACACATTTGAAGATTGGGGGTGGCATGGTTGCGATTGGAAACTCGCGGAATCTTG